CTGTAAGTAATACTTTTTAATTTAGATTTTTATATATTTATTTTTTGAAAACTAAATACTAAGTTAATTATTTAGACACAAGAAGTAGCACAATGTAACATGATAGTTCCTAGAAATTGTAGATGCAAAAAATGTGGTAATATATTTAATTTTTTGTTTTATATTGTATACCAGATATATGTATAATATGCAATATCTAATTTTTTTAAAATTTAAGATATTCCTCACTTAAATAATGGAACTGCTGTTTGTGGTGACATAATTGAAAAATCTTGTTCAGTACAATTTATTAAAATTATTCCTCATAACATTACTGAATATCCATTTGTTGCTCTTATTTGTATTGGTGTTCACAATCATCCTCCACCTCTACCAGAAAGAACACCTGCTGAAATTAAAAATAATTTGCAACTTCTAATTGAACAGGCAATTCATCAGGATGATACTATTACTTCAAGATCTTTATTATCAGGTAAATGTTAAATTTTAATGGAAATTTTACATTATTATATTATTAATAATATACTATATTAATTAATAGGGAATTTGATCAATGCATATTTTAACAAAGAAATCTTAGCAGAGGTGCATGTATCATTGAATAATATTGATAAATTGCGTTATTTAATAGGAAAAGCATATAAAAATTTGCATCCATTTGGGCAAGGAGTTATGGGTGTATATCATAATGCATTAACTGCAAATTCCAATTTGGCTAATTATATTCGTAAAATTGGTAAGTTTTTAAATCCAATTTACATCCATAATTAATTATATATTAATAATAATTATTTTTTAGATCTTTTTACAAATAATGGTCAAGTAATTATTATATGCATGCTTGCTGAACAAGCCAAAAAGTTGATTGCACTTGAGTGGTTTCAAATTGATGTTAGTTTCAAACGAGTGAAAGGAGAAATTAATAAATTTGAAATAAATACATATGATTCTAATCATCATTTAAGTAAGTGAATTTTTTTAAATTCAATTTAATATACATATAAAAGGAAATATGTATTAAATATATAACTTTTATTTTAGTATTATCATTTTGTAGAATTTTTACAAATGTTTTTACAGCTGAAAAATATCATAGATTATTTTTATCCTTATTTCAAGTAATTTATGAAGTAAGTGGACAACATATTAAGTTTTAACACATTCATAAAGATGGTATCAGATGCATTCTAGCTGATTTGGATAGCGCACAAGCCAAGGGCTTAGGATCAGCTTTACATGATCTGGATTGTGAAAGAGATTGGGAGACCCATTTGACCTTTATTTTTAAGTCTTGTCTTGTGCATTTTGAACGGTATTTATATATTTATTTTTCATTATTTATTACTTTTTATAAATCTTTAAATGTTTAATTTATTTTTTTTTCTTAAGAAATTTGCATCACAAAACATTTGAAAAAAATACAAAAAAGTTAATAAGACAGATTCCTAATGCATCTAGTAAAGAAGAAGTAAATATTCTATTACAACAAATAAAAGATACAAATGATGATGGAATAGAAGATATATATTAATTATTAATATTTTAAATTAAGTAATTATATTATTTTAACAAATTATTATTTTTTTTTTTTTTGTAGATTGGTTAAAATATTACTAACAACCATATGTATTGTCTTCTTTAAATCAATTTATTTCAAATATTAATCATGAAACTTAGCGCAAAAGTGGAACAAATACTAATAATGCAGAGGCAGCTCATTCTATGGTAAATAGAGAGGGAAAGCAATTAAAATTACTATCAGCCATTTTAAGGTTAGTTATTTATGTTTACTTGATATTTTTATTATACATAATTTTTAAAAATATTTTTTATTTTATAGAGGGAAAAAATATGATGAACGGTGTTACAAAACAATTGAAATTCATAACAATACAGGTGTTCCTTATACACATCGGGATAAAAGTGAAATTAAGCGAACAAGTGAATCAATAATACGCAAAGGTAGTAATAATATTTATGAAAATAATTATCAGTTATTAATTTCATGTAAAAGCTAACTTTTTTAATTAAATATAGGATTTTCGTAATCAAAAAAATAAAGAACCAGTTATTGATTTAACAAATGATCATTTATCCAATAAACCCTCTTTAAAAAGAAAACTTTCTCCCTCTACTAATAGAAAATCATCAAAAAAAAGTAAAGAGGAGCCATTGGAAAATGAGAAAACAGAGATACTTGAATTAGAAATTGAAGAGAAAAAAATAGCATTAAGAGAGCGTGCTATTAAAGCACGAATTGCTGAAGCTGAAGTTAGAAAACTAGAAGCTGAAGCTGAGGCATTAGAAATAGCTAATCAACAACAAAGACTGAAGATTTAGTCGTATTTCTAGATTGAAAAAAGTTTGGTTTTATGAAATTTCAATAAAGATTATAAAGATTATATGTTACTAGTATAAAAAATTTTTTAAAAAATAAAATTTAAATTGGTTTTTAAAGTAAAATTTGTGTTCGTAAAAAAAATATTTTTTTTTTAAAGTAAAATTTGTGTAAAAAAAAATAATGTATGGTCACGTGATTTTAGATATTGTATATACCGTACGTACGTACATTTTTATTGTATAAAGTAATAATCGGTAGTGGTAGTAGTGCAGGTCTTTTATTTTTCAAGAAGTTCGGGTTGGGCTCCAGCTTGTCTGGAATTCGATGGTAGGAATCGTTTAGGTCGTGCTAGTTATAGTCCATCCTTTGCTTACTTTCTCTACCGGCTTCACATAAAATAAATAAAATAAATAAATTGTATAAAGTAATAATATAATAAATACGTATGTACGTATAGTAAAAAAATACAACCATACGTACAAAGAAAAAGATCACCGTACGTGACATACAAAGGGTTGTATACATAACATGTTTTCTACATACCGAGTATTTTTTCGCAAATAAAATTCTTTGTCCTCACATACCGCACTTTGAGCCAATAACATTCCGCAAAAAAAATAATATAAAAGCTGTCATGTCTATCACGTTATTCTGATCTCGTTAAAGGAAATACAACCGCGAACGCCTTCGAAGTTGATATTGAGAAGGACAAGTTTATTAGCAAGCTCAAGGAGGCTATAAAGGCAAAAAAACAAAATGACTTTGCTGGTATAGACGCAGACAATCTCTGACGATCATGTCGATCCCTTAAGCAATCTTTCATTCGAGGACAGTTAGCTATAAGAAAGATTTCGAAATACTTCCCTGTCTCACCTCTCGAGGAACATATTTATGTCTTAGTCGAACCACCAGAGACCACCGCCACTTCGAGCCGTGAACAGGAATTGCTTGACCGCATCGCATCGTTGGAGAAATCGCTTAACAAGTCAACTCATGGTATGTATTTTTTTTCCTGAGCAGAGGTCAGTGAAAAATTACTAACTGGCTGTTATATTACAGCGTTTGATGTCGTCGTTAGGCCGAAACAGAAGGCAAATAAGTGGACTGTAAATATCGAGCAAGCAACCCTCAAAGACCTCACGTGAATTGTATAAGCCACCAGCGCTTGAAAATGATGGAGCAGTACTGAACTTCATGAACGATGGGGATAGATATTATCCTAGGAACGATGAATCATTTCGAGAGATGTTGCGGACGCTAGTATCAAAGAAAAATCTCAAGTTTACCGTGTTCATAGAGACTCCCTCAAAACCATTCAACTCCTGGACCTTCCCTAAAGTGTGTGAGCTCTATGAGCTTAGCGACGACCCGAATCCTAGTATTGATGTATATCCCGTTTTTCATTGTGGATCTGCTAACCTAAGTAGCAAAAAGTCTGAAGACGTGATTAAGCATCTAATGGCTGAATTAAAACTTCGCCAAGATGTTACTCCTCTCGACAAGGCATATGAGGCAACGAAGACAATTTATTCTTACTGCTATCTGGCTTCCGGGGTCTCGTTTTACAAAGATAATTTCAAGCTCATACCGGAAAAACTTATCGAGGGTCGAAACCTCGATTATGCAGTAGAGTGTCGTTCGACCGGTAGAGTCCTTGGTGTAATCGAAGTTAAGAAGGAAGATTTTATGAAGGGATTTGCCCAGGCGTCCGTGCAGATGGAGTCAACTTTGTCACGTAAACGCAAGGCAGATGAAATCGATAATGGACAGGATGTAGATAGGGTATTTGGGATTGTTACCGATGCATCTGAATGGTATTTTATGGAATGTTCGCTAGATAATGAGGGGAAACCATCGTTTAAGCTATCGGAACCAGTGACCGTTGTGTGCAAAGATGAGAATTTGCAAGCTAAAGTAGAAAAGATCCTCGGGCATATTGTATGGTTATTGGAAGAGGCACAGAAGCCGGTGGAAGCTTCGCAAAGTGGTGTAAAAAGGGTAAAGTCATTGAGCAACATCGCAGAAAAATCGAATTAGAATTTAGGAACAGATAGGGCTTAGCATAGAAAAAATAATATGTATCACGGGTACAGTCCCAGTCATTTGTATTTGTTTTCGCATGTATTAATAAAGCGGTTTTTCATTTGCCATGTAACATTGAATAATTCTTTCGTATATGAAATATTATCTATCATGTTATCTGAGCTTGAAGTATTGATCATTGAGCTTGAGGCTAAGGAGAAAGCTAGGCGTGCTGAGCTTGAGGCTAGAATTTTAAAACTAGAGCAGGATCAGGCAGAAAGAGAAACTAGGTAAGAAAAATCGCAAATTTCAGACTAGATGCATCCAGATAGCTAAGGAAATTCTTAATGAGGAACCTATTATCGAATATCGCCCTCCTTTCCTGGATGGATTAGAGCTTGATGCTTTCTTCCAAAAATATCGAATCGCATTAGAGGTGCAAGGGGCTCAGCATCGGTTTCATAGTACTAGCTGGTATAAAGATGTTAAGAAACTCGAAGATGTTGTTAATAGTGATCGGCAAAAAAGATGCATTTGTCTGGATAGTGGAATTTTCCTTATTGAAGTATGGTATGATCAAAACCCGAAAATTGTTATTCCAGAAAGGATACGAAAAATTAAGGAGTTTGTTTGTCTAGTATCCAAAAATTTTGATACAATAGTCTTATAATATATGTAACTCTACGTACGTTTAACCTAAGCGATGCAAAAATATCTATTTATTTTTTTTTTATCAGCTTATCGCTCGTATTAAACATCATCTGTTAATCTGTTATGTATATCTAGATCAGTGATCACGATCTCAAAACGCGTAAACGCGCACGTGGTTTAATAATCAATATAAATAATACCATAGGTTCTTAATCAGTAAGACTAAAACTCTTACTTGTTAGTTATTCCACCTATTCCACCATGAGTTCCATGAGTTTGAATACTGAAGACAGCAAAAACAGTGTAAACACTGTAAAAAAACTTGCAAAAATGTTTTCCTTAGGTGAGTATTAAATGATACAAATAAATGAAAAGTTCAGAAATTCATCTTAACAATCTTTTCATTACCATTTAGGTTTAAGAGATATTCCCGATGTTATAAAAGAGAACGCAGACAAGGTCCTCGAAGTTATTGAAAATATGTGTATTGATGATCCTATCGTCATCATTAAATGGACAGTTCCCTTTCCCAGAAATGTTAGAGGCCAAACGGAGGTATTTTTACATTGTTTGTTATTCATTGTTTGTTAATTTAAACTAATATGTACAAAATTGTTTAGCGTTCGTTAATTAACCACATTGTGACAAATGGAGGCACCAATGAATTTAATTCTAACGTAATTTTCTCCTTCAGAAGTGGACGACAGCTTACTAACTGTGTAAATGGTCTACCACTTTGGTTGGTGTTAAGTTTTATTATTATTATTTCTAGAAATATTTGCAATGTTTTTAACTTTTTCAAATATAGGTGCAGGCATGATCGAGTTAATCCAAATGTGCCCGATGTTGGGTATTGCTACCGTGCCACCAGAGTTAGTGAACGTTCAGCGGATCTAGAAGTATATTCTCTCGTTTTTAATATCTAGCTTCGTATACTATAAATATCTTTAAAAAAAATTACCTAATTATTTTATGCTAATATTTTTATGATATAACTCGAATTTTTAGCTTTATAAATGTATTATCATGAAACATATATTTTAATGCAAGAATAAAAAATTATTGCTTAAATATACTATTATATAATTTTTTGTGTATGTCCACGTTTTTCATAGAGATTAACCAAGGTGATTTATTACATGGATGAAGTCAGGGATAAAATCTAGTCAGCAGGAAATCTAAGATAGGTATAATACAAGATAACTTGCACAAGAAACTCTTAGAACTAGAAACATCTCGTGTTATTTGGGAAAAATAGGTTGAGATAGACAAAATCAAGCTGGTTTCATATAGCACAACTGAGATTTCGAAACTGACTAATGCACAAATCCGAAATGTAATAGATCAGGTAATCTTGAAAACTAATCAGACTAATTTAACGGATGCACAAGTGAATCCCTTGGTTTCAACTGAGGAGGACCTTTTGATGAAAGAGATCATGGAAGGTATTGAGAGGGTAGAGAAAGAGAAATGTCAATCAAAGGTAGTAACTGCAACTAAAATCCATATTGAATATGATGATGTCTACTTTGATGGGGAGGATTTAAAGGAGGAAGCGAACGAAGTTAAGTCAGATGATGAAAACGTTTCTAGTGATTCTGAAGAAGAGAGGCGTGATTTGGATGATGGATATAATGGATATGGTCATACAGTGGATATGATGAATATGGTGGATGCGATAGAGGTTATTATTATCGTGATGGAGATATGAAAGGAAAGTCTCACCAATGATGAGTCCTATTATCTCTCCGGTAACTGCCTAGAAGAATTATTGGACGAACAATTATTCGCATTGATTGAATTATGCAAAATCGTATTTCTTTTTTTCGAATCACGTGGGTGGCTAGATATTATGCACAGTAAGTACGTCATCATTAAACTTCTTTGCAGTAACTACGTCACTATATCCGCAGTCATTTATTCCATTTATTTTTCTTCAAAAATTTGAATTCACTCTTTTAGAGTCAAGAGTAGAGTTCCGAACAGGTTGACCAAATTCAGGTAACCTGACAGGTTGACCTGAATTTATCAGGTCAGGTTTAGCAATTACAATTCAGCATTATGACATCAATATAACCTGAATGACTGTTGACCTGAAAATATGATTTTATATAATATAAGTGATAGTATTATAACTCACTTTTTATATTGATTTTATATATAAAAAGTGAATCGCAGTATCGGAATTCACTTTTTTATATTGATTTTAAATAAAAAAAGTTGGTTGCGGTATTATGATTCACCTTTTTATACGATTTTAATATAAAAAAGTGAATCGCAATATTTTCAAAAAAAATGTTTTGCGCCATTTTTTTTGATATTTTAATAAAAATCCTGAAAATTTTCAGGTTTCAGTTCAGGTCAGGTCAAACAGATAACCTGACCTGACCTGACCTGAAAAAAAATTTCAGGTCAGATTTATCAATTAACCTGACCTGATCTGATCCATTCAGAACTCTAGTCAAGAGTAAGTATGGTTTGTAAAAAGAATAAAAGAATTTAAAGATGCTTCCTGAAACTATTTTTCAGTTTCCGAAACTGAAATTGAAACCAAAACTAAATCCGAAACTTGTCCGAAACTCTGAAACTAGCCCAAAACTCCCGAAACTAGCCCAAAACTCCCATAAAATTTGGCCGAAATTATGACATTTTATCCCGTGATGTTATACCAATTTCCTAAAAAGGAAATTATATTTCCCAGTAAAATTGGAAAAATTAGTTATACAATGGTTACACAAAATCCAAAAAAAGAAATTTTAATGTCAATCATTTCTTGGCCAGAATTACGTCCTAAAAATGGCTAAAATTATATCAATAATTTCAGTCAAATTTTGAACTTTCAGTAATAATTTTGGCATTATAAATTTTGGGATTAGTTTTACTAGTTTCAGATTAGTTTTACCAATTTCAGTTAGTTTTACCAGTTTCAGATTAATTTTACCAGTTTTGGATTAGTTTTACCAGTTTTACCAGTTTTGGAAAATAAGAAAATTTCAGAAATAGTTTTACCAAATTTCGGTTTTAACAGTTTCAGAAATTACTAAATTTCAGGCAGTATCTTTATAAAAGATGTATTCAATCCACACAATTCGCAACTCCAGTATCAGCTGAGGAGATCCAATCTGAAAGCCTTATAGTAATGGCTATAGAACTACAAGAATTTGTACATCAAGTATAGTTAATGAAGTTCATAAAGTACTAGAATATGATCGAAAAAATATGCCTTGGATTGATAATGTTACCAAAATTTTTGCTTAAGATAGAATTAATTAAAGATTATTGTTAGGGTTACCTATGAGAATAGTTGAAGATCGAACAAGTCACATGATGTAGTACGCAGAAATCCTATGATTATGGCTGAGTTATTACAATATGAAACATTTATATATTTTAGTTTTATTAGTTATTTACATTAATTAATCACTTTTAGTATTATTAGTACTTTTGACTCATAAGTATTCAATTATAAGTATCAGTTTAATTATTATAACCTTAAAAAATTGCTTTATTAGTTTAGCTAGAGAAGTTTCTTGAATTTTACATAGTTGATGAATCATATAGACACATAGAACTTATAGGAAATGGTAATGAAAAGGTTTTTGCAGATAATTGCAATGAAAAAGGACAATTGATTGATTAATCATATTAGTATAATAGGATAATATTGATAAGTTCAAACTGTCATGTGTGCAAATGTAAACATATATAGAGCAATATTTTCTTTTGAATAAAAATTGTTAACACCTGGGTAATCTAATAGTGAGTTTAGATTGTGTTATCTAAAGTATTGTGTTTTTGTATGATTTGTTTATTAGTTTTTCTTTGTAGTAAACTTTTTTGCATGTTTTATTTGTTTTACCTTTGTGTTTGTTATTATTTGTTTGATAGATTTCTATCTTTAAGAAACTCTTACATTGTTTACCGTCATTATTAATTTTCTATTGAGAATTATTAGTGATACTCTTATATTTCGTTACAATATTATCAAAACACTTATCATTTTATTACTTGACTTTTATCATGACTGTTCAATTTAACATCTCTGATGTTAGTTATCACTCCAAACCAAATCGGTGATAACAATAACTTTATTCGTGCTTTAATGGAGCTTGAAAATCAATGCAATGATCCATGAAAAAAAGCATATAACAGTCCACTTCAGTGAACAAATTCTTTGGTATGAAGGCATTTCGTGAAATATCCATTCAAACTAATCTTATTTCTAAGGTACAAGATTTTGGAAATAAAATAGTTAATCACATAACTGATTTCATAACTCAAGTGGAAAAAGGCAAAAAAGGATAGTTAAGCTGTGGATCAGTTGCAACATTATGTCAGATGATAATTATGGAAAGAGTGGTAGATCCACTTAATAATGCTGAAAATAAAGGTCTTAAAACTTGTGGATAAATAATCATTTTCTAAAAAGATATATTCTTTCAAAAACACATGAAAGAGACGTCTCTTAATTCCAATAATATATCACTGGATCATATAAATCCACAGAATATATTATGCACAGTAATACATCACTGACATCTGCAGTCATCATTTTTGCTGAAGGCACTAAGGCACAAGATCTATTAATAAACTTGGTCAAGAAAATTATTTTTGTGTTGCTATACTGATGAACTTTCCTAAGAGTTCTAGTATCATCAGGAAGTCACAGAAAAAATGTTTATCAAATGTATATCAACCACTTGATATACATTATAAAGAAATGTTAAACATCAGACCCTGTAATGTACTACTGATGTCACAATACCAAATCCATTAACAATATACATTATTTTTATTATAACAGTATTTTATTATTGATATTTAAATGTTATTGAATAATAAATTATTTTATTAAATTATTAAATTACATTATAACAATCTATATTAATCCAATTAATCCAAAATATTAGCTAAATGTTTCTATAAAAAAATGAAAATAAGTTTTGTAATAGGCGTTGCAAAACTTAACATCATATGGGCTGATTTGTCTACCTTTAATTAAAATATTGATTTTATTACATTTTTATTATACAAAATACTATATAATATACAGTAAATTGGAGATGAGTATTAAAAAATTTTTATTTAATGTTACTATAAATTGGTAAATATTTCTTTTAAATTAATATATTTACCATATATGTTAAAATTTTGTATCTTAACTTTAAACGTAAATATCTCCAGATCCAATGATCCAATCGGCAAGCTCTTTTTTCGTTCATATAGACCAGATCAAGGGCTTTCCAAAGAGCCTAAATTTATAAAAAATGGATCAGTGGATCCCAAAATATTTGCATTTAAGCATGTTAAAAAATTCATACCTCAACTTTAAACATAAATATCTCTGGATCTAATGAGTCAATTGACGAGCTCTTTTTTCGCCTATAAAGTCCAGAACAAGGGCTTTTCAATAAGCCTAAAATTATAGAAAACAGATCAGTGAATCTTGATATATTTGCGTTTAAAGATGGTAATACAAACTCTGACACAAAATAATTATTTTTATTGTTTGAAAATATCTATCATGATACCATCTTTTATATGATATTTTTATTATACTTTTATAAACATTTATAGCTACTAAGACTATATAAATTTTTATTTTACTTTATATTTTATTAAAATATACTTACTTTTTAATAATATATATTAAAAATTCCATATATATGAGAAATGGGTTTTTTATTAGTAAAATGGGTTTTTTCACAGCTTTTTACATTTAATAATTTAAGTTTCGCAATTGTAAATTTTTGCTCAACTTATTATTTAGTCAAGTGATCATCAATCAGATGATTTTTTGGTATTACAAAACAATTTTGAGTAACAAAAATTGTGAAGATCAATTCAATAACTCTTTTTAATGCAGAGCAAACAAATCAGCCCATATGGATGATAAAAGCTTTCTTTTCCAAAAATTTTAAAAACATAACAATTCCACAGTAAAATTTTATTTTGCTTAGTTTTTAAAAAAAAATGGAAGATAAACGAAATATACAAATAGCTGAAAATAAGTTTCCACTTATTGAAGGCACAGAACAACAAAATTTTTTACGAACCACATATATAAATTACTTAAATTTTAGTGAAGGTCTTGCCGCTCAGTTTTTTACCGGAAGAAATATAGAAGTTCAATGTAATATACTACGAAATAATTTCAGTTTAACAGACGAAGACATAAATAGTTGGAGATCAAGGGCCTCTCGTTATCAAATGACTCCAGAAAGTTTTGCTTTTTTTTTACACACTGCTATATATTCTGCCGTAGAGAGTTATGCCGCAGTAAAGCGTTTAACAGCTGATAGAAGAAATATGTTGGCAACATCAATAGCAGAACATGTGACTTCTATGGATTTGAAACAGCAAAAAATAGAAAAAGAGATCCAAAAAGCAAAAAAGCATTATTCAGAGCGATCTCCTAAAAAGGAAAAATCTAAGACGGGAATAAAGCACAGGTCTAAAAAAGATAAGAAAAAAAAGAAAAAAGCCCAACGCCATGATTCTGATTCAGATTTCACTTACCAATATGGGAGTGATTCTGATGATCTATTAGATTAAACAATTAATGAACTGATGGAGAAAGCCACTGATGAGATGATCTCAATTGACCAACCAATTGTAGATCCAATGAAGATGATCAAATCTGGAATTAATCTTGATAATAGCCCAAATGTTGATCAATCATCAAAAATGGAAATCATCACAGATACACCAGTTATAAAATAGATTGAAAATACGCCCTTGCTGCAAACAGTTCCTCAATCACAGAACATCATAACGGATTTGACAAAATCTTTGAATAAAAAGAAAAAGTTGAATAAACATTTAGTTCAACAAGCTATTACAGGTCATATACCAACTAATGAGGATACATTGCGAGTCAGAGACATTTTAGTATATGATATTCTGGTATCCTGGATGCCAGAGGAAATTCTAAAACAATTAACTCTATGGGGAAAAACTATTAGTATGCAAACGAAATGACAAAGAAAATACCAGACAGTTCATTTGTCAATAGAATTGAGTACCTTCCGTTTAGCCTAAGAATGATGCTGCAATTATTTTTTTAAATTTGCAGTATTGCGGATTTTTGAAGTGAATTGCATATAATAATTCGCAATTCTGCAATTATTACATAATTCCGCAATTCTTCCGCAATTCCGCAATTATTCTGCAATTCCACAATTATTCAGTAGTACCGCAATTCTTCTGCAATTCCACAATTATTCAGTAGTACTGCAATTCTTCCGCAATTTCGCAATTATTCGGTAGTACCGCAATTCTTCTGCAATTTCGCAATTATTCGGTAGTACTGCAATTCTTCCGCAATTCTGCAATTATTCGGTAGTACCGCAATTCTTCTGCAATTCCGCAATTATTCGGTAGTACCACAATTCTTTCGCAATTCCGCAATTATCCGGTAGTATCGCAATTCTTTTACAATTACGCAATTTTATCACAATTCTTTCGCAATTCTGTAATTGTAAATTCATTATTTATTGCATTCTTATTAATATTTCTAAAGCAAATAATAAATACCTTTCAATTTATTATTAGTACATTTCTTTTAAAAATTCTCATATATATACACTTCATACCAAAAAGTTTAAGACCATATGTGATTTCTTAAAAAATAAATTTTTTTTTATCATTAATTTTTATTGGACTCTAATAAATGTATATAATATTTTTATTCCTTAATGAATACTTTTCAGCGTTTTATATATAGAATTTAACCAGAAATTATAATATATTGCATTTTTTAAGTATCGTTTTAGAAAAGTATTTACGAACGTTATACTTAAAATGATATTAAAAGAATTTTTTAAAAACATGAAATAATTCTGAGATCACTATTAAGTCACAATTAGAAATTTGACGAAAATCTTATTTTTACAAAAAAAAAGAGAAAATTATTAATCGCGTAATTACTATGTAATTTAATCATTAAATTACCCGATGATCGCTATCTTTTACCTTGTTATTTTATAATTTAATTTCAGTCCCAAGTTGATATAATTTCGGCCCAATAAATAATCCTATCTATAGCTAGTATATAAATTATATAAGTAAAACTTTTCTTAAAAGAACTTAATTACCAAATCAATTTTTTATTTATATTTATCTATATAAAATTTTAATTAAAATTTTTGCTAATACTTAGTTGGAAAGCCACGTGCCTTTAAAACTGCTTTTACTCAGTTTTCCATACTGCTAACCGTTTACTATTGCTTCTCGAACTGGAAGACCTTAAAAATTAAATGAACGTGATAAGCGGCATCTAAAGCTTATTATCAATAAAGAAAGGTGTGAACCAGCAAAAAAAATTTGGGAAATTTTTGTAAAATCAACTGGTAAAAAAATGTGTATATAAATAACCCTTTATGAAATGGGTTATAGTTGAGTTGCTCTCAGAAAGCCCTATATAAGTGAAACAAACAGACGTTTTCGATTAAAATGGTCTTGAGAAAGGCGATTATACTTCTGATAACCTCACTAGAAAGTTGTGACCATAATTCTTGTAAAAATCTCTCTAATTTGATTATATTTTTGAATTTTCTTTTCTTGATCAGATGTTACGTTCGAGTTCATCCCACAAGTGTTCGATAGGATTAAGGTCGGACTTTGTCCCAGCCATAGTAAAAGAGTTATTGCATTTTCTTAGATGAAAATCTTCTATGTTTCTGTTATATCAATCTGACCATTGATCCTTACCAACAGATCTAATCCATACCATGAAAAACATCCCCACATCATAATACCCACTATGCTTTACCGTTGGAAGGCAATTAATATCATATTTTTCCTTTGGGAAGTGCCAAACGTGAATTTTTCCAATTTTGATATTGTACCATAGACAGCTGTTTTTGAACAACCTGTTTTTTGGATATGGTTCTTTCAGAGTCTCCTGATTGGTAAAAACCAATAATTACGTCACGTTCGAATTCTGTAAGCTGTTTTTTTTAGCCATAGATAAAGAAAGTGTAAAGAAAAATGTTGGAAAAGAAAATAAACGGAAATGAGTATAACGTGAATTATGTAGTAATTGTGGAGTAAGTAGAGAGAGTAACAAAATCAGGATTCGTGCGATGTGTGTTAGTAGAACATTTCCTTCAAAAGTAAAATTTCTTATTTCTTTCAAAATGTTGTGAGTTTTCTCCTATTATTCTTTATACAATTTGGCACGTGAGGACCAGATGTGATCTTTAATGTCATTCATAATGAGGTTCATAAAAGTTATAAAACTCTTGAAATGTAAAGCTTTCTTAAGGATATAATTGCAGAAAATGTCAGTAAGGGCACATGGTATCAAACCATGTATTAAAAAGTAAAATGAGTGAGTTTTTGGTAATGTATAATCAAAAGTAGCGTTAAAAAAAGAGGACGAGTCTATAGTGTCCTAAAGGTGTCTAGGAAAATTGAATATTAGCGGTAGGGTATAAGAAATTACTTTTTTTTATGCGTGAACTTTGTAATTTCGATAATTTAATGCTTGTAATCGTATCATAAGGATTATGATTCATTCATTCTTTAGTGAAAGTCCAATCTATGTCACCTTATTTGATGAGATCGTGAATAAGGGATAATGAAGAATTATTAATTAACGAATTAAATAGTAGTGAATCTAACACGTTATTGCTCCATCTTCTAATGTTGCGGTCTACTACCGCGATATTATTCCAATTAATGTATCCTAGACTTGTTTGTTGAAAAATGTATGATTAATAATAATAGGATTTCTGATTTCAGATCCTACGTTAGCTAAAGAATCTGCCAAATCATTTTCTGCATTGTTAGAGTGAGCTAAGGTATATAATGATCTCTAATTATCAAATCTTAATAAATGATATGTAAGTGTCACGTGATCACAAATGAACAAATCACTAAACCATGTTTTAAACGCGCAATACAATTTCTCAACTAAAGTTATTTATTTTATTAATAAAACTATATAATATTGTTATATATGAAATTATGCGAATTATTATGATTATTATAACAAACAAAATAAGAAAAAATTATATTTCATCAGGATTCCAATCCTCGTCATCTTCATCATTACTATTACATCTACGACGCGTAATAATAGGAAGTGTTGTATTATCAATAAGTACCTATGGGCCCAAATCTACTACATTTTCAATATTTAATATTTCATTAACGTCACTTGTTTCCACTTCATTACCTTCATTTGGAATTAATTCATCATCATCATCACTTTCATTAAACAAATCTCCTTCTTCAAACATATTATTTAACATTTGTTGAACATCATTATTTGATATTAAATCAGCATGATTTAAAGATTTTTGACCTTTTGTACTAAGGTTATAACGATAGATTTTTGCTATTGATTCAATTGTTTGGGCACTTAAATTCGTTCTTTTCTTTCCAAACATCCAACCAAGAGATGAAAAAAGACGCTCGCAACTAGCGGAATGAGGCGTAATTGAAAAAATAACTTTGCTAAGACGTGATAAAGAAGAGAATTTTCTATCAATAATTGAATTCCACCATAAATAAGGCACATCGTGTTCAGGCAAATATTATGCATCATAGGGTTTAGCATTATCAAAATATGAATGAATCTGAGAATGTAATTCTAAACCAAATGCTTTTTTATGCCCAAGAGCTTTCCAAAGCCTAAGTGCGGCTTTTTGAATACGATCAAAATGTTGATTACGAACACCTAATCCTTAATAAACAAGCAATAAATAAATGTTAAATAAATTTTTTATTATATGGATTACAAACCATCTTCCTTTAAATTTAAATTAATTATTAATTATTAATTACCTTTATAGTAAGGGTGAAGAAAAAATGCCAGAAGATAAATATCTTCATCGTATTCTGCAANGCAATTCCGCAATTATTCGGTAGTACCGCAATTCTTTCGCAATTCCGCAATTTTATCGCAATTCTTCCGCAATTCTGTAATTGTAAATTCATTATTTATTGCATTCTTATTAATATTTCTAAAGCAAATGATAAATACCTTTCAATTAGTACATTTCTTTTAAAAATTCTCATACATATACACTACCTACCAAAAAGTTTAAGACTATATGCGATTTTTTAAAAAATAAATTTTTTTTTATCATTAATTTTTATTGGACTCTAATAAATGTATATAATATTTTCATTCCTTAATGAATACTTCAGCGTTTTATATATAGAATTTAACCAGAAATTGCATTTTTTAAGTATCGTTTTGGAAAAGTATTTACGAACGTTATACTTAAAATGATATTAAAAGAATTTTTAAAAAAAATGAAATAATTCTGAGGTCACTATGAAGTCACAATTAGAAATTTGACAAAAATCTTATTTTTACAAAAAAAAAGAGAAAATTATTAATCGCGTAATTACTATGTAATTTAATCATTAAGTTACCCGATGATCGCTATCTTTTACCTTGTATTTTATAATTTAATTTCAGTCCCAAGTTGATATAATTTCGGCCCAATAAATAATACTATCTATAGCTAGTATATAAATTATATAAGTAAAACTTTTCTTAAAAGAACTTAATTACCAAATCAATTTTTTATTTATATTTACCTATATAAAATTTTAATTAAAATTTTTGCTAATACTTAGTTGGAAAGCCACGTGCCTTAAGAACTGCTTTTACTCAGTTTTCCATACTGCTAACCGTTTACTATTGCTTCTCAAACTGAAAGACCTTAAAAATTAAATGAACGTGATAAGCGGCATCTAAAGCTTATTATCAATAAAGAAAGGTGTGAACCAGCAGAAAAAATTAGGGAAATTTTTGTAAAATCAACTGGTAAGGAAGTGTGTGTATAAATAACCCTTTATGAAATGGGTTATAGTCGAGTTGCCCTCAGAAAGCCCTAAATAAGTGAAACAAACAGACGTTTTCGATTAAAATGGTCTCGAGAAAGGCGATTATATTTCTGATAAACCTCACTAGAAATTTGTGACCATAATTCTTGTAAAAATCTCTCTAATTTGATTAT